AAAAAAAAAAAAAAATCGATTTAAATTGTCCGCAAAACGTGTTCCTGCTTTGAGACGCTGAGGGCGGTTTTTTTTCAAGAGCAAACAGGCTCTGACCCCTCCCGGGCACGTCGAGATCCTGAGAAGTGCCGTGTCCTGCCTGCCAGTGGTGCAGACACAGCTGCCTTCCCCTGCCTGCTCCTGCTGCCCCTCTGACAGGCGCGTCCTTGGAGCTCTGGGTGCTGCATCACCCGGCGAGTCCTGGATGGGAGTCCCCAAAGTCTCGGGGCTGCTGTAGCTCTGGCTTGGTGCCATGGATGTGAAGGTAGCTCTGTTCCCTGGCGCTCGTGTCCGTGTAGTGGGTGAGGTCGTGCCACGGAGGGGGGGCTGAGGGTCCGATACTGTGCTGCTCCTGCCAGCACCGGGCAGGAGCCCCTGGGGACGGCGGGACAGGAGCACTCGCTGTGCTCCCTTGCCCTTCCCAAAGACCCCAGCAGGGCTGGCGTTTCCCCATCCTGGGAGAGAGCGGAGCAGGCAGCCAGGCCCGCTCTGGGCCAAGGCAAGAGGTGTTTGGAGCAGAGGACGCAGCCATTTGCCATAAGGAGCCCCAGGGAGAGCAGGGGGGGTTTCTCTGCCAGGAGCGGGGAAGAAGAGCCCAGGTTGGGCTCGGACTCAGCCGTGCTGCCTGGGCAGGCCGATGCTAGAGCTCAGGGCTGCTACCCCACAGGCTGCCCCATCCCCTCAGCCAGGCAGTGGGGTCTTTGCCCCGGGTTTCTCTTCCCGGACTGATGCCAATGAGCCCCTTTTCCCTCTTGGGCTGGGGTGACAGTGCCACCATAGCAGAGGTCCCTGGCAGGGGAGGATGGAAGCACCCATGTGCCACTGCTGTTGACAATGCTGGCCCCTCTGTCCCCACAGGACACCATCGATCTGACCTGCGAGGACACGAGCACAGACCCAGCACTGTGGAGCAGCCTCACCATCATCGACCTGACGGAGGACACATGCAGCCCTTCCCACAGCTCTCCCCATGCCACCAGCCGGGCTGACCAAGACCCCGGACAGGCGCCTGCTGCCCCAGCAGCACACACATCCCATCCCTGGCTCTGCTTCACCACAAAGCAAGAAACGGAGGCAACAGCAGGGCCGAGCCCTGCAGTACCCTCGCATGGCGCTCCCACGGAGCCCAGTGCCACCACAGACACGGCCCAAAGTGCGGAGAACTGGAGCTGCTTCTCTCCCGCCTCCAGCCACCATGGCTCCTCCTGCAGCCCGGAGCAGAACTGCAGCACCACCACTTTTAACAGTGACTTGGGCTCCCTGGCCAGCATGCAGCTGAACTCAGACCTGCTGTCCCTGTCCCCCTCCAGCCTGGACAGCAGCAGCAGCCGCTGGAGAGCCAGTGGCCCGGAGGAAGAGACTCCCCACGCCTGCCAGCAAAGGGAGCTGCCCCCGAGGTTGAGCCCTGCCCCAGCCATCCCCACAACCCCAGGGAAGGCCCAAGGGCCTTTGCTGGAAGCAGGTCACTTACCACTGCACAAAGGAATCCAGCAAATGACACCAGCCAGGACCAAGGCTGACAGCAAGGCCTGGCTGAACAAACTGCACTATTTCAGGAGGAGCGGAGTCCAGCACCTCTTCCTCCAAGGCGTAGCACCCAACAGGGAAACACAGCAGGTAAATGGGGTTCAGAGCAGCTGCTGCCTATGCCCAGATGGAGCCTGCTCGGAGCAGTCCCTGCAGTAGAGGATGGAGCAGGGGCAGCCCCTGATCCACTCCCCTTTTCAGAAGAAGCTTTGCCGGGCAGTTGGGATCTCTGGTTATTGCAGTTCCCTTCATGGTGGGCCCCACATCGCAGCTGGGTTCCTCTGTGTTGGGGGGGAGCTGGCTTTCACCCATTGCCTTGCCTTGCATGCAGCGGAAACCTGAGGTCATCCCCAGCGGGAAGCTGAGTATGGTGCACACCACCATGGAGGAGAACTTCATCGAGGGCACCTTGCATTTCCTGAGTGAGTTCGTCTCCTGCCAGCACTGTCCCCCCAAAGAAATCATCTCTCACCTGATCAGACAGATCCTGTTGAACCCTCACCAAGGGGAGATCCTGAAGGACACCTACATGCTGCTGATGAAGATCCAAATGTACGTGTTCCCTTTGCCACAATGCTCTGGGGCTGGCTAGGTGCTCCTAGAGGCCTGGCCAGCATAAAGGTTATTCTCCATGGTCCTCACCCACAGAACAGGGAGCTATTTTCCCTATAATCCAGGACGATCCTCCTGTCCCTGCTTCCTGTTATCAGCACAGGCCCGCCCTGGGCTGTCTGAGGGTGGGTCAGGACCATTGCTGGCCCAGACAGCAGGCACTAAACCCTCAAGTGGATGGAGAATGGGGGGGTGAGAGAGGCAGGGGATGCTGAGACAAGAGGGAAAGCAGCTCCAACTATATCACAAGCATGCCTCAATCGTTTATTAGCAAGCCCACACAGTGCAGGGCCGGTCTGTGACACCAGGGAGCCTTCTAGGACAGAGGAGTATGTTTGCCTTGCTCCTGAAAAGCAGATATTCTTCACTGCTGACATGGCAGAAATGCCTTCCTCGGACTGCAGCCCGGACCATGGGCTGGAGGTGGCTGGAGTGGTTCCCCTGCTGTCCTCAGGGTTCCCACAGAGAGTCACAGTGTTTTGTGAGGCTGTGGGTCCAGAAGTGCCAATGCTCTCCATGGAGTACAGCCCCAGTCAGGTGCTTCCAAAAATTTGATGTGGTCAGGGGAGGAGAAAGGGAGAGGGCAAAGCCGGGGAGAAGGCAGGGCAGGCCCCTGAGCAAGTGGGGCCAGGGGAGGGCCAGAGGCTGCCATGCCTCCAGGCAGACGGTCAGGCAGTTCAGCACAAATGGACAGTGCTGTCCTTGCAGGCTCCATCCAGCCAACACTGCCACGGTGGGATGGGACTGGACGCTGCTGAAATACATCATGGAGGACCAGGTACTTGGCACTGCGTGTGTCACATCAGGCAGGGATCATCCAGTACGCGGTGCCTGAGGGTAAGCATTGCCCCAGGGCCTCATGGCCATGCTCTGCTGCAGGATGGGTCAGTCCAACATGCAGTTTTATTGCAGCCACTGCAGGCAGCAAATGCCACTTGGGTCTACTGCTTTATATCTGCAGTGCTCCCTAAGCTGCTGCACAGCTGTAAGCAGGTTGTCTCATCTGAAGAAGACACAGCAACAGACAAAGCCTCTGTGGACCACAGCCCTAGTGCAATGGTAGAGCAGGTCCAACCAAGACCCCAGAGCATTGTCTGAGCCAGGCAGCCCCTCCTGGAGCTACTCCTCAGTCATGTACATCAGCCCGTTCCTGAGATAGCCAAATTCCCTGGTGCTACGCACCCTGTGCATCCACCAGGCTCATACCATCTCCATCTGCCCTCAGGAGAAGCCCCCTGGCCGGCTCCTCTTCCTGCAGTACGTGGTGCAGACCCTGGAGGATGACTTCCAGCAGAACCTGAGGTTGCAGCTGCTGCAGAAGTCGATTGCCAAGAAAGTGCTTTCGTGTGACATGTGCTTCAACAATGTCAAGTAAGGGACGCCTCGTCCTCCCCTATTCTCTAACCAGATGCTGAGAGGCAGAGGCTCAGGGAATGCTTGTCGAGACTCCAGGTCAGACTTTCCAGGAAACAAGCCTGGGAGGCAGAGGGAAGTGTAGGGCCCAGGTATAAAGAACAGGAGCAGGTTTACAAAAGCAAACCACCAGAGATGATGCAAGGCATTTCCAGCTGCAACCTAGCGGGCTTTTCCCAGGAACGAGGTCAGATTTGCATTGCTCAGGACAGGACTGAGAAGGAGGCAGTCCTGTTGACAAGTGTATAAATCTGCTGCTCAACAGAGCTACTCCCTAGCCTGTCCAAGCAGCTGAGTCGTATTGTTCATCCTTGGGGTCTTTCCCTGAGCTCCAAGAGGATCTAGAGGTCACAGTGCAGCAAAACCGGGCCTGTCCTCGCTAACATTCCTGTTTCTGTCCTAGGGATGTGGTCGAATGGTTGATCGCAGCAGTTACAGGAGTGGGGTTCTCCCAGGCCCAGGAGCAGCCACAAGAGATTACCTCCTCTTCAGCAGAAGCGAGGGCTGAACACAGCTTGCCTGCACCATGCCTGGCCAGCACTGACCAGGCAGAGGTGGCTTCCCCAGCTTTCTTCGCCCAGAAGTAAGCCCCAGAAGTCCTGACTCCCTGCTGGCATTACCATGGGGCATAAGTCAGGGAGAAGCCAGTGTCTCTCCCTGTCAGGTCAGGGAAGCTAGGCTGTACCTGAAGTCTCCTTTGGGGTAGACATACACTTGGTGAGCAAGAGACTTTCTCACCTGGTAGGAAACTGGCTCAGAGTGTCCTCCTCTTACATGTAGCATAAGGCTGCAGGTCTTGGCCCACAGCCCAGGCTGCCCCATCCTGTTGCACCAATGCTCAGTACAGCCACTGAGATCTCCTGAGGGCCCATCTGGGGATTAGCTCTGTTTCCAAGAGCATCAGATCCAAAAGTCACCAAGAGACACCAAATCTAGCCTGTGACATTCCCCTACATCCCTCACTGCAATGCATGAGGCTGAACTAGGTGCTATCCCTACTGCTTTACTTTGCAAGCCAAGGGGTAGTGTCTCCTAGTGTTGACTGTCTCTCTAACCTAGGGTGATGCTCCTGCTCCAGCGGATGTTGTCCATCGCAGTGGAAGTGGACAAATCTCCCAACTGCAGCTCCTGTAGGATTGCAGATGTGATATTCCCATTTATACTGAATATTCCCCTGAGGAGCCAAAGGTGAGACAAACATGTGCAAGGCAACATCTGCCTGTGTAAGCAATAGTCTTATTCCTGATTTACATCCAGTCTGGATGCATAAAGTACCACAGGGTATAGAAAGACAGGTTCATTTATGACCAAGCCAGCAAATGCATGGCTGTTGGACAGATCCCATAGAGATAGAACATCATCAGCTGAACCCATCTCCCCAGCTTGTGAGTTGCTGAGAAAAGTTGATTCTCCCACTTGTTAAAGTTTCAGGACCTTAAAACTGTAAAGACTGTCTGAAAAGCAGCACTCTGCATCAGCATGATTAAGTACAGGCAAACACATCACTGATTCCCAGGGACAACTGAGAAGCTCATCAGAAATATGATGCAGTTCCTGGAGCTTTGCCTTGACATGCTTTTGTTTGCTTCTCTCAGAAATGCAGTATCTGAAGCCAAAGCACAAGGGCCTGACTGGCTCTAGCATAGACATGTGTCCTGGTTTCAGCTGGAATAGAGTTAATTTTCTTCCTAGTAGCTGGCATAGTGCTGTGTTTTGGATTTAGCATGAGAATAATGCTGATAACACACTGATGTTTTAGTTGTTGCTAAGTAGTACTGACACTAGTCAAGGACTTTTTCAGCTTCCCATGCTCTGCCAGGTGCAGAAGAAACTGGGAGGGGGCACAGCCAGGACGGCTGACCCAACCTGGCCAAAGGAATATTCCATACCATACGACATCATGCTCAGTATATAAACTGGGGGGAGTTGGCCGGGGGGCAGCAATCACTGCTTGGAGCCTGGCTGGGTGTCAATTGGCAGGTTGTGAGTGGTTGCATGACTTGTTTTTCCTGGGTTTTGTTCCTCCTCTTGTTGTTTTCCTTTTCAATTTTTTTAATTATTACTATTATTATTATTTTATTGCAATTATTAAACTGTTCTTATCTCAACCCATGACTTTTCTTACTTTTGCCCTTCTGATTCCCCCAGCCCACTGTGGGGGGAGGGTGAGCAAGTGGCTGCATGATGCTTGGTTGCCAGCTGGGGTTAAACCACAACAATATGAGACCACCAGACCCACAGACATTTCAAACCCATGTTTGCCAGCCCCAGCAGCCAGCCCTGTCAGACCATTTTAGCAGAACTCTCTCTGAGCACACACCAGGTCTAATCCAGCCAAACTGACTCTCTTTAACCAAGCTATCACTCCTCCCAGGACAGATCTCCTAGATCCAGTTGGCCGCTGACCCCACTTCACGCTTGCTTGGCTGTGCTCCCTGCA